AGTGGAGGCCCTTCTCGCTGTATAAAAAGAAACTCTTCGGCGAGAGGGGAAATCATCGAGAGCGAGAGGGAAATCATCGAGAGAGTAGATACGTTCTGTAAAAGGAAATCATATGAGGTCGACTCGCATTTATTGCACGTCCCTCTCAAATGTCAGGAATAACAGGAGAGAATATGCAGGCTAGGTGATTTCACCCAGACTAGGGTGATTTGGTAAATCAATGTAGGGTATCTCGCTGGAAAGAGGGCATGAGAGCGAGAGGTAGACTATTCCGGTCGCAGGAAGGCGAGAGCCTCTCGACTTGTATTTAATGCCCCCTAGTGTCAGATGTCAGAGAATATGTAGTCTGGGGAATAAGCAGCCCACAACACTGTTCATAATACTGTTCCTCAAGAAGACAGGTAATGTTGGAGATGACAACAAAAATAGTGGTGAAATCCGTATTTGGAATCCGCTAGGAAAAGCTTTTCCTATAAATAGTAATAGATTTATTATTTTCAAACACAACTCAGATCTAGATAATTAACAGAAAAATATACAGTTTTGTTCTTTCATATCATTAAAGTCCAATAATATACTGACTTGACCGTCGGAGTGCTAATCCCGGCCTCCGTCCGGTGTTTCTTTCTTTTATGTTCTAGGATCCAAGAGAAGCCTCAACATATTCCGTCGTGAGGGGCCCAACAGCATATATGGGCTGATCAGAGCTCATCAAATTTAGCTTGAACTTGAGCTTGAGCTCGAAAAAACTGGTGAACGCGACTAATTTACACCGTACCCCCAATTCTACTCCATATTTTCCATATGTTTGTTTATGACGAAAACACATCAATTTATTAATAATCTTGAAAACAAACAAAAGCTAAAACTGCTTACAAGTTACGTTTACTAATTAGAGCGCATGCAACAAATAAAAATTAAACATTTCACAAGAATAAATTCAACAATCACACTTGATCACACGTACGGATTAATTGATTAATTGATTGATTGATTAATCACGCGGCAATTCTTTCTGATCTCCCCAGCATCTCCGACCAGCACCTCAATAGCTCCCATCTTCACCATCGACAACTTAAACTGCCTGAAAAACGCCGACGGAGACTGAAACCGTGTCACGATTCCAGCGGAAGTCGGGTCGGTGATAAGGGCGGCGTCGGACTGGAACAGGCCCTGCTTCTTGTTCACGGCGGAGAAGTAGTGTGAGTCGAAGGTGAGGGTACTGTTAGGGTCCATGCCCACCGTCGTGGTGGAGTTGACCGGCGTCGGGCACTGCCTCTTCAAGAACTCCCCGTAGCTCGGGTCCAGCGACGGGTCGGTGTCGTTTCTTCCGGTGAAGTTCAGCCGCCGCGCGAATGCCCCGCAGTGCGCCACTCCGATCGTGTGTGCGCCTGTAATTATATTATACACGTAGAACCTCGATAAATAAATGCTCGGTAAAAATAATATATAACTTTACTTAAATAATAGTTTCTTCTGGTCCCGATTCGCTAAAAGCCTACTAAATTATTAGTTCGATAATTTAATATTTTGCTAAATTAATAGAATTTTGCTAGTTGTGACTGTATTAATTTATAGAAGTTTAATTATATAGGTATATATATATATAATTTTAGTGAAAATATATTAATTGATTAATTAATTAATTACCTGATAATGCAACGAGATCATTGATGTCTAGCTTTTTGTTTGAGAACAGATTCTGAAGCGTCGAAAAATTTGAAAACGGAGAAGGTAAGTTGCCGGTGACGTCCGATAGAAGAGAAACCCGGCCGTCTTTTCTTCCGGTCAGCACATCCCACATCGGCCTCTTAAACTGTTACCAATTACAAACAATGTTTATATAATCATAAATTAATTAAATATATATATATATATATATATATATATATATATATATATATATATATATAGTGAGAATAATTAATTAGAGAGATGACCTGAACCTTAACTTACCGGAAAAGAAACGGCCTCACGAGCAGCGAGTGCCAGAATATCCAGCACTGAAACAATTCCGGGGCAATCATTTTCGACCCGTGTCTTGATTTCATCGATAACGTCGAACCGCCCAATGACCGATTTGGCCTTGCGTCTTTTTCCGATTGATTTGTTCCTACCGTGTCCAAAAGTATCGATGCGTCGCATCCCTATACAATTTATTAAAAAAAAAATGCTTTATAAGTACATTATTATATATTGTCAATCTAAGCAAGAATTTTGTTCGGAGACAAATATAAATTGGAAATATATTATGTATGACGGTTGACAATAATATTACTGCACTAACTGAAAATTAACAAATTCTTCTATAAAATATTTTTTTTCCAAATCAATGGGCCGTTCATGATCGAGAACCTAACATAACTTGTTAATAGAAATGCATGAAAATATGTTGATCTACGTAAAATTCTAATTTTAGCACAAAACGATGAAGAACTATATATATACCTTGACGAAACAATCGTGATAATGCAGACGAATAAGCTTAGCACCCAAAGTAGAGTCTTTACGGACTCGAGCTTCAGTAACTTGTTTCACAAGTTGCTCGGCTTTTGGACAACGGGTGCTTTTGTAAAAGTCCAATCTCAAACCGGGTTTAACTGGAGCCTTCTTACCGGCTCCATAAACCACGGTAAGAGACACAAACACGAGCACAAACCCTAGTAAAGTTTTCATTTTCGTGACGAGAAAAATCGATAATTGTGTGATAAAATCTAGTGCAAACTATTGAATAAAGCAGTGTTTAAGGTACACAAATTTGAGTGTTAGGAGGCTTCCTTTTATAGACAACATGAGAAGGTGGCTAATATCTAATAAATGAATTTAAATATATAATTAATTGTTTTAATTAAATAAAATGTCAACCAATTACTAGTTGCTACAATCCTTAACCGTAGCTCGTGGGTTTTGTCAAAAGACTTGTTTTGTTTATTATCCCAATGTAGATGATCATATCTAACTGTTTAATGATGTTCTACTTGACAGTACCTAGAAATTTTGTCTTATTTTTCCAATTTATTATATATAAAAAAAAAAATTACATATTAATTATTAAGTTATTTGTTTGTGATTTCATATTAGTTACCATGTATACGACTGAGTCAATGAGGTTTTTAATTTAAGATAGTGAGAATATTTTTTAATTATAATGTGTATATTTAGACAGACATCGATCAGTGATTTTGGGGAAGATAAGTATTATATATATAGTCACTTAATACTCAAGTAAACGAGGCAGCGGTTCTCGGTTGAACCGGTCGATCCAATTCTGATTTTAAAATATTGGTAAAATTAGCCGCGACCCTCTAAATTCAATTAGATTTAGTGACTAAATTAAAAAAAGAAAATGACAGATTCATCCCTAAACTACTAGAAAATATAATTTTATACTACTTTAAATTAAAACTATGATGGATAAATTACATCTAGTACCTAATTTAGCAATTTTAATATAATGCGATATGATATAAATAACAAAAAGTATATTTTAGATGAAGTAATTAATTCGTTTGTAAAAAAGTATATTATAATATATTTCACTCTAGATCAAAAGGATTGCAACCAAATAAAACAATCTAACTAAATTAATCTCCGGAAAAAAAATGTAATGTATGATATATAAGCACTAACCAAGTTGTGTAGCTCAATTAATTTCACGTAATTGCCACTTAAGAAATAATTATCTAGTGTGATTATTTAAATTGCTAGACTGGAAAAATAATAGTAGAGTATCATGCATTACGGTATCGTTTCGAAAGTAACGGTATATCAAACACCGATATATATACGGCAATTTTTTTTATATGATAATGGTACGAAAGTTTCTATTACCATAAATTACGGTTGGTACACGGTAATGAAAAAAAATTATTTATCTCTATCATTTTCACCTCTACAAAAAATTACCCCATGTTATTTTACTAACAAAAATATTTATAGATATGATCAATGACGGAGCATATATCATTAGCCTAGAGAGAAAATCCTCGCATGTGATATATAAAAAAAAATATGCAGCACAAAATAAAATAAAATAAAAGGTCGAAATTGAGTATTTATATTAATTATTATATGCCCACTCCACGCGAAAAGGGGCGAATATTTCAACTGAATTCTTACTACTCTATCATTAATTAAATAATTAATCATATGGTTATTTTCTATTTTGAAATATTATTTTTTTTATTAATAAATAATAAATAATTCGTACTATAGCAAGGCTGGCAAACGCGGCTTCAAAATTTCAAACTTGAATCCCGCTAGTTGGATCAAATTTGTTTGACTTTGACCATTTTTGTTCATGAATGACAAAGTTTATTTATTAATTATTATTTACAATTTTATTTTATACGCAATGTATGTCAAAACAGATAACTTAAAATAGGGGAAATTGTATGCTACACCTGGTGAATATAACCAGACGCCCAAATTAATAAGATTCCAACTACGGGTTCAGTTATGGCCCAATGAGTTTTAGAAATATAATTATAAAATAAATAAAAAAAGACACATGTCAAGAAAAGAACCACCCGGTGAAAATCACCGGGTGTAGCATCGTATTCCCCCTTAAAATAGCGTATTTATTCGGCCAATAAACAATTTTATCTTTAACAAAATATAAGAATTTGAACATTTTAGTTTATTCCACTACCTCTCCCTCTTTTTCTCATATTGAAATATACTTTTTTTTCTTTTTTCTTTTCACTCCCGGTGTAGCACGGGCACGGATACACGGACACGGCGAAATGGGGAAACAGGCACGGAGAAATCCCATTTTCCAAAAAGTTGAATACCAAAGTATAGTAAAAACGTGTAAATATTAAAATATAGGGGTACATCCATAATTTCTAAAAAGTATTATAAGGTTTAACTTTATATATACTTATCACTACAAGAAAAGTGACTTTTAACAACTTCAATTTAACAACGTGCTATAAAAGCATGTTGTGGTATTTTATATTTTACAACATTCTTTGAATGTATGTTGTCGTTAGCCTCAACATATCATATATTACAAGGTGCAGGTTTTGCGTGTTGTGAAACATTACATACTACAACATGCGCAAGCATCTTGTAAATATTTACTTTGTAAGTTATACAATACAACATTTTCGGCATCTTGTAGAATAAAATACCTTATAACAACATACATGGGTATCTCGTAAAATATATTAAATATAACAAGATACGTAGGCATGCTGTCAAATAGTTCAATTTAGTATTGTAAATAAAATTTTAAGACAAAAAAACACGTGTATTTTGTAGAACTAATTAAATACAAAAGCATAGACGAACATTTTGTAGAATATTTTAAATATAAAAATTGTGACATGAAACTTATAAAGGAAATATACTATAATATAATTAATATATTATAAAAAAAAATCTATTAGAAGAATGAATAAATTAATTTCAAGGAGGCGGCAAAATGACCGCGCTTTTGTTTTTTTACTACTAAATCTCATCAAAATTAATTTTCCACTACCAGGCCTCTCTATCTTCTCGATTTCCTTTGAACCGATAGAAACCAGACATTCCCCTTCAATTAATCAATTAAAATCGAAATCTGCCATCATTTAGTTCATCGACAAGTATCTTATATGTCGAATTGACGGGAAACTCAATTGTTGAGGACGACTAGGTTTTGAACTTGCGTGAACTATCAGCCCTTAAGGAGTAACAGGACACAAATCCAAGTCTTTTCTCACCTCCCACATATTTCAAGAAGATGCGTTTCACCACCGTAGATACTCCAATTTTATTTCGTTGAGGTATGGTATATCTGATGTTTTCTTAGGTTTTCAAAAATTATTTTTTGTTGAAATTCTAGGGATTGAGTGAGTTATGTTTGTGTACAAGTTTTACCCATAATATTAATATACGTGTTATATTGATGTTGTTGGTTTCGTGCATCAGGAAACTTATAGATCTTCCCCTCTCTCCCTTTTTTTTTTTTAATTTTATTTTTTGTACTTTGCCTCTTAATTGATATTATTCTTAGTATCACCTGGGAATGGGTCATTGGTCCAGTGAAAGCAAAATTGTATCACCTCAACTGCTATTGGTAGTACTCCACCTTGTTTTGTTTTTTCATATACTTCATCCTCATAAATTAACATTCTACTGTCTTTGTTTGCTTTGTTTGCAGGTGGTCTTTTTTATTACATGTGGAAAGAAAGTAGATATGAAACAATATTTTGCAAGGTTAAGAGAATAATTTAGTTTATCCAATATGTGCAAGATATATGATGGTAGGATTTGTTGAGCACTGAATAATTAGGTTTTGGCCTAAATATATGAGAAACCATGGAATTGAGTATGAAATGACTAATATTCTTTTGTTTTTTGTTTTGTTTTGCATAGTTGTAGAATACGTGTACAGAGAAGAGGCGATAGAGAGAAGGCTACTGAGAAGAGGAAGTTTCGATGGTAACGGAGTATTTTTGATATATCTCACTCAAGTAAGAGTTGGTGCAATTTTTCTTTTTCAAAGTATTGAAACTTGTTCGTTTCTATTATGTATTCTCAGAACAAAGAGGGAAAAACACAGAAAATTGGCGAAGTTAAGTAGCACTAGTCTTTCAGATTCAATAACTTATGGCAGTCCATGTGTGGCACTTGCAAGCTTGGCGATTGTGTGTTAGATTAGAAACTGTCTCGATTATTACATCGGAAATAAAGAGCTTCAGTTTGTAGTGTGCTCAATTTAAGTGCCACATTTTATAGAGCTAATGATAACCGTGATGTCAAGGAAAATATTCTAGCATCATTTTGACTACATAATCTAACGAAAGGTACAAATGATGACAATTTATTGGAATATACATTAGTTTATGTTTAACTTAAAATTTTTGTTCGCTAATTTTTTTCATGTATTAGATTACTTTACAAGACAAGTCCAATTGAAGGAAGAGTTTCTTTTGGGTTGCATCGGCAAACTCAGTGGAGCTACATGGCTTTTTATGGATGCTGAAGAAACATCTGAAAATTCTCGCAAAAGAGTGAAATAGTGTGATCTTATACCAGTTTAGACCCAAAGGTTTGATATTTAATTTACATTTACTCGTAATCCATATTTTGCAAATATCAACAATTTATTTGGATTTTGCAACTTTCGTAAAGATCACTCCACATGTGACTCTAGTTCCAGATCACTTGGTTAAATTTGTATTTATGTGTTCACTTGTTGAAATTTCTTGTTCATTTGTGCAATTTTTTTTCTAATTTAATTTCTTTATTTGACTCTCGATTAACTAGAAGTTGTTATGTCCAGTATATTGATCCTATTAGTCTAACTGTGGAATATGCGGCAGAGCAAAACTTGAGCATCGTCGGGTTGGAAGAGAATTTAGAATTAGTTTGACGATAGATCAATTTGTTTTGTTTATTGTCTATACATCATTCGATTATAGTGTTTTTAGATAAATTTGTATTGCAAAGATTTTGGTTCATTTGAATTTGGACAAAACAAAATCTATTTAGTGTATTTAATTTCATAATTTTATCAATATTTTTTTTGTCATAGTCAATAAAGCCACAAAGTGCTAATGATTGTTGTTAAAACTCTATTACAAGATGCACCAGTGCGTGTTGTTAAACATTCTACAAGATGCGTATGAATGTTGTCAATACTGTGACACAACATGCCGTGTAGCTTGTCGTAGGTGAAAGACAACGTGCATCACAACGTGCTGAACGGCTTGTTAAAACTCCTGACCTTTAACAACATGTCCATCAACAGTGTGCGCCTGTGCGTTGTCAATACGTTTTAACAGCGCGCATCGCCTCTTGTTAAAAGGTACTTTTCTTGTAGTGTATCATCAGTTACATATTTATATCTACAATGATTGGTCGATTACATCCATAATTTCTAAAAAGTATTATAATGTTTAACTTTATATATACTTATCATCAGTTTATCATACTAATTTCAGATTTTATAATACTAATTTAGTTCTGTATTTATCATCAGTATTATAATGATTGTCGAAATTCGAAAAAAAAAAATATTTCCGCAATCGAGAATTTCTGGATTTGTAATCGACCAAAATCTGAAATTAGGATTAGAATTTCTGAATAATATGACGGGGTTATTTTTTTTATATTTATTTAATAATATATCTGTTATATTATATTGCAGACATAATATATAGATAACTACAGAACTAAAGTTATATATGGATCATCTACGTACGTGCATGCATGCATGCATGGCATGTTTGTTCTTACACAAAATTATGCCTCTTTTAATACTTACCCTAATTATCAAAAGAAAAAAGGAAAAAGGAAAAACACACAATCAATTTATTAATCTTCAAACCAAACCAATACAAACAAAATTTAAATCTGCTTACAATTTATGATTACTAAGAACGCACTCACACAAAAGTGCATGCAGCACAGCAAATAAAAATTAAACCCTTGAACAACCACTCGGGATTATATAATC